CCCCCCCCCCCCCCCCCCCAAGCTGTTGCTCATTTAAATTTCTAATTTTTTTAATTACTTGTGCTTACTTACTCATAAAAAGTGATTAAAATGCATGAAAGTATTTATTTGCTCACGTATCAGTTCAGTGTGAAATCAGAATTGATCCTATTTACTTTCTTAAAAGAATAGTTCACCCAAAAATTAAAATGTGCACAAAATGACTCATAATTTAGCCAGAAGCAACGGTTAAAGGAAGCAAGTAAAAAAAAAAGCCTTGATGGATTTGTTTCTTACAAACACACAGGTTTTCACTTCACACAGTATTAATTGATGGACTGGATTAGTGTGGATTATTGTGATGTTTCTATCAGCTGTTTGGACTCTCATTCTGACGGCACCCATTCACTGCAGAGGATCCATTGTTGAGCAAGTGATGTAATGCTAAATTTCTTCAAATATGTTCCAATGAAGAAACAAACTCATCTACATCTTGGATGGCTTGAGGGTGAATACATTATCAGCAAATTTTACATTTTGGGTGAAGTTTTCCTTTAATATATTTTGATGGGTAATTGATAAAAAAAATAGAGATCCTTGAAACAGTCATTTTAAATTACACAGTGACAAAAATCACATTAGTAATGGTTATGAAACAGTTTGTTGTATCACATTATGTTGCTCTGTAGTCCTAAATAAATTCACCTAAATAAACATAATTTCGATTGATTGCCTGTTTTCAATGATTCTCACTCGTTACACAGTTTTCTGGATGGCAACGCAAGGAAATAGGGGTTAAAAGATCAAGGTGGCCAGCTACCTCCAACACTGCCTGCTGTCTCTTCCCTGTTGCCATAGAAACTGATCCCAATCCATCATAATCACAGTGCCACATAAGGATATGGACAATGGTGTGTAGTCAGCATGGATGGTAGACACTCTGAAAGCCAGAGAAAGATGGAGTGACGCACCCAGAAAGAAATGTGCATGGAGAATATTAATGGGTGGTCAGAAATAAATTACTTCCCTGCTAAGTAAAATGCCTACGGAGGTTTTGTGATCAGGTTGGCCTGTTGGCTGTTGTCAGAGAGGTTTTCAGCTCGGCCAGGCTGGGAGACCAGCTTAAACCCGACTGGTATGTTGAAATGTTGAACGTCATATCCTTTCAGTGAATACAAATAATATTTAGATTTTAAATGGTTATCTTATGAGCTGCATGCATCATGGCTGCAACAAGTTGAAATGGGACATATAAAAGTAAAGCGCTAGTAATAAAACTTAGCCTAATTAAAAACGTATAGGCTAAAACAGGAACGTTTTAATTTAGGGCCTATTTACACCTAGTCACTTCATGCGTTTTCTCTGATGGATAAGTTATATGATTTGTTCAAAAGCTTCCATTTAGGCTACACTTGGCCACATAAATGTGTCTCTGCAAAACGGATATAGATCCGATCGTAAATTCCCGCGCTATATGAAAAATGAACGGAGTTTACGTCAACGAAAGCAACAGATATGCTCTGCATTTTATTCATTATCAGCTAATTTCAAGATCAAAGACCGCAATAGGAGAGAGAGCGGCATCAGATAGTAATAAAACTTAGCCTAATTAAAAACGTATAGGCTAAAACAGGAACGTTTTAATTTAGTACCTATTTACACCTAGTCACTTAATGCGTTTTCTCTGATGGATAAGTTATCTGATTTGTTCAAACGCTTCCATTTAGGCTACACTTGGCCACATAAATGTGTCTCTGCAAAACGGATATAGATCCGATCGTAAATTCCCGCGCTATATGAAAAATTAACGGAGTTTAGGCCTACGTCAACGAAAGCAACAGATATGTTCTGCATTTTATTCATTATCAGCTAATTTCAAGATCAAAGACCGCAATAGGAGAGAGAGCGGCATCATACCTGGAAAGATAAGTTAGTCTTACTACTTGTAATGAAGATCGCGCATCTGCGACTTTCAGTTTCTTTTGCGGAAGTTTGCGCGTCGGCTTGTTGAAGAGATAGGCTGTGGAGATAGGGTACGTGTTGGCGCTGTCCTATCCAGGGGCGTGTAAGTGTTTTGGGGGCCCTCAGCAAGTGGTCCCGTGGGGCCACCCTCTGTTCCGCAGTAGCGTGAGGACAACTAAAAGCTTGCTGCTGCATGTAGATGGCGTAATTACTTAGTGGAATAAAAAGACTCATGAATCAGTGTATTTGAAACCGTTTAAACGAACCGATTCTCAGAAATGAGTTGGACTTCACTACTCCACACAGCTGAAAGAA